TTTGTGTTTTCTTCTGTTTAACAATGCCTTCAAGTTTTCATTGAACAAAAAAAGTGGCAGAAGAACTACATAGCCACTTCACAAGGAAGATATACAATGAGCAACAAACACTTGAAAAATACTTCATCATCACTTGCTAGCAGGGAAATGTAAATCAAAACCGCAGAGAGATACTACTTGACATCCATGAGAACAACCCATATCAAAAGTACAGAAACAATAAATCCTGGTGCAGATGTCAAAAAAAATGAACTTGCATACATGTTGGTAAAATTTAGTCTGGAAAACAATATGTAGGTTTCTCAAAATATCCCACACCTAAGTATTTAGCTGAGGAATGCAGAAACACCAATTCAAAAGGATATACACACTCCTGAGTTCACTGTAGCACAATTTGTAACAGCTATAAATATGAATGCAGCCTAAGTGCTCAGCAACAGATCACTGGATAAATATGTGGTATATTTACACACAATGGAATATTATTCAGCTATGAAAGAGGAGAAATCATGCCATTTGCTAAAATGGATGGAACTGGAAGGAGTTATGTTAAGCAAAATTAGTCAAAAGGAAAAAGACAAAATACTGGATTATCTCACTCATGTTGAATATAATTAAGGTAAAGAAAGAAACAGACAAAGCAAATGCCAAAACCTGACTCTAAAATTGAAACTACCATAGGAAGGAAAGGTTGGGAGCTGTAAGCAAAAGGAAGAAGGGCTCCAAAGCACTATGTTGGGGGTGCTTTGTTGATTGGTATAGTTACATATATCTGAATGGGTATGAACCTATTCCCCTAAATCATACACAATAACTGTAAACTGTTACCTCTGTCAAAAAAATAATGCAAAAAAACTATAGTGATTTAGGAATCAATCCAAAAATGTCAGAATTCTTTTATTTTGTTGTTATTTTCTGTTTTGGTTCAGCAGAGAAAATGTTTACTGAGGACTAGCTCTATGCCTCTGTTAATTTGAGCTCTGGACTTTGACGTTATGATTGCCCCAGAAAGACAAAACACAGCACAGCTTTTGCTCCTAAGCAGCTCAAATTTCAGGAAACCAGAAAGCTCGAGAGAAAAGCAATTGTCTTGTTATACCGTCTTTGATAATAAAGGCATCTACACAATGCTAAGGATAAAGGAACAGTGATGTCATCTTCAAATAGCTGAAACAGTAGGTGATCAAAGGAGCTTATCTTTGAAGGATATGTTGATTTAAGAATGTGTAAGATAGGAAGAGAGATGGAAGAGTACTTAGAAGATGTTTAACAAAGGCAAGGGAAACCATGATCATCTCCTGTATGGACAGAATCCAGAAAAACCTTTCCTCCTTTATTTACACATTTAAACAGGGAGGTTAAACATACACAAATTACAAGTTTTAGAAACTCTAGTAAAACTCAACTGACCTGTGTTGGTAAATTAAAAATTCCAACTTCAACAACGATAATACTGAAGTCTAGGCAAGAATCAGACCACCTGGAGGAGGTCCCAGAAATTCACTTGCCCCAGAAATTCCAATCCAGGAAGGTGGGTGTTTTAAATTTCCTCTTACAACAATTATACTTTCTTAGCCACACATAGGGTCTAGTGTTTGGTACAGTTCTATGACTTGATTTGAAATGCTCAGCAGTGAGTTTCCTGTGGAGAGTTGGAAGAATCTTCTCATTCCATGGTGGTACTGCTTGAAAGCCCTGGGTAATTGTGCGTGGAATCTGTTTGTATCAGTAAGCACATAAAAGCAAGTTAAAATTAGTATCATGGTAGTTTTGAGAGAAAGAAGTGGTAAAAACACCACCAGTGAGAAGATAGTAGAATATAGATCTATCCCATCACTACCTTGTGGTCAGCCTTAAAAAAGAAGTTGGTCTCAAATTTCTTGACCTCAGAACCCATACCATTCACATTAAAAAGAGTTTATGGACTTAAGCACTTTTGTGTTTTTATCAATATTTATTGTTTTAGAAATTAAAACAGAAATACTAACAATTTGTATTTAGTAATCTACTCTAAAATAAATTATATTAATAGAATAAACACTTTCATGAATAATGGCTATGTTTTTGAAATAAAAATAGAAGAATGACATGTACACTTTTTAAAAATTTCTTTATTTCCATTTATTGTGAATAATATAAGCCTTTAGAAAACTTTGTTACACAGGTCAGCAGAATACCTACCATGTTAATATTCCCTCTCCCCCAACCCCATGTTAATACACATGCACACCCACATTCTTACAAACTTGCCAGGTAGTTAATTCCTAAGCTTCTCAAAATATAGAATTTGAGGAAAATACTACAATATTTATTATTCAATTTGGAGCTGACGTTAAGTGTAAAAAATTGCACCTAAGTATTTGTTAAATAAGTAAATGTTAAATTTATTTGTGCGATGTACCTCAGTATATTAATTAAATCAAAAATTAGAATTAATCTTCTTTGCAGTCTGCCATTTAGAATATCAAATTATTTCTAAATAAACTAATATTTGGGAGCTAATATTTCCATTTCAGGAGATAATGGTTAGGACCATAAGCTCTAAGTTCAGAAATCATGTTTGAAATCCTAACAACAGTCCTTAGATCATAAGCAAATGAATTAACCCATAGAACTTCATTTTCCTTTTTGTACAATAAGAATATAACAATAAAGGTTCATAATCTTTTATGAACCATATCCAAAATTGAAACATTTCAGAAAATTGAAATTTTATTTATGACTCATTAAACAACAAAAGGTGACAAAAGCTCTTTTCATTTACCCTCTCTGTATGACTAGTTGTATGTTTTGCTATAGAAGTTTAATGTGTTTGATTCTGAAGTTCTGCCTTCAACTTTGTTTGGTCTGAATACATTTAACCATTGATTAACACATAGGTAGGGATATTGTTGTCTCCCAAAAATCTCTCTCCACTACATCAATTTGAAAATCCTCATATAACTTAGAATCAGCCAACCACCATCCCTGTTTGGTTGAATCTATGAATATAGAACTTACAGTTAGAAACTCACAGTTCAAACCTATGCTGTGCAAAAGCCAACTGTGTTGGAATGTTTCATAATAAATATGAATCCTAAACATCTTGATAAGATGGATAAGAGATTAAAAACTGATATCTCTATGCCCGAATTAAACTATATATTTACATATGTGTGTATAGTTATTATGTAGAATACTGATAAACACAAAGTACCATGTTGGGTTTGTTAAATAGATCAGGTAATATTTCCAAATGTGCTTAGAAATAAATAGAAGTAAAGCACTTCTTATTTTACTAAACTTTCTTCCATGTCAGTGGTAGGAAGGATTCTTATTTTTCCCTCTTGCTTTAGTTAATAGAAAAAATGGGAAGGTACTGGTTTCCTGCTTCATATCAGGGAAAACTGTACCTTTCTTAATACTAAAAAGGTTTGGAAATTGAAATTTTCAACATTAGTGGTTTTGTTATTTTTTTCTGTGATCCTAACACTGCTGAACCCTAGGAATTCATCAGTAGCAAGCCCAAGTCTTAATGTTTGCATCATCAATGGTCTAAAGGGAAAGAAGCAGTTGACTCAGGCATTGTACAGATATTCACCTTTACAAAAATTCAACCCAGTCATGGTGTCTAATTTGATCTCCAGATGAAATAAAGGACTTTCAATTACTTTGAGTTTCAGGCAAACAACAAATAACTCTTCTACAATATTATATCACAAATATTGCATGGGACACACTAAATACAGAATACTCATCCCAGCCAGCATTTGGGACAATCTGAGAATTTTAAAAAGTATTTATGTATTTCATGTTTATCTGAAATTCATTTGTAAGTGAACATTTTGTATTTTTCACTTCCTAAATCCTGCATCTGTGACTAATTGTGGGCTATTTTCAGCCATCTTGGAAAGTTCTGAGAAGAAAATAGTTGTTTCACTCAAATTGGACAATTCAATTTAAAAAAAATAATTTTTTTTTCATAGGTATAGGACGGGTTAAGGGAAACTAAGGGAGTTTTACACCCCTGGCTGGAAGAAATTCCTATCCCAAGGCAGTCTCATAGACCAAGAAGAGGGAAAGAAATAGCCCCCCTCTCATCTTCACCCTACCCTGCCCTGCAGTCTCTTGAGAGTGTCCTTCCCCAATTAGAAGTTAGCAGACAAGGGGACCAGAATCCCTCACCTGTCGCTACCATGTGGAAGCCAGTGGGTGGAGAATGAGTAGGTGGAAAAAGTGGGGAAGGAAGAAGGAGAAGGCAACAGTCTAAAATTTGAAGGTTAAAGGAAAAAAAGAAAATCCATACTACCACTGATTTCAATACAAAATTACTTTGGCTTCTATGAAATGCTGATTATTTTTTCCTCTTTGGGATGATTACAATTTCTTATGTCAACTAGATGAATAGAACTACAGCATATCACTCTCATCTTGTGCCTGAGTCCTGTTTCTTCCTGTTGACCCTAGAAATGAGCACCTCCTTATACTTCGCAGCCCTGGCGCCTCCCTGGGCTCAGGTGCTGGCTATCCCATGCTTATAGACTGGCCATCCCTCGGCCTGTCAAGTCAGGAGGCACCGTCCCAAATGAGTCCTGGACCTTTGGCACTGCTCTTCCTCAAATGGTTGTCTCTGTCCACACAAGACAAGGCTATGTTACTGGAACAAATCCTCTGACCAGAGAGGCTTTCATTTTGTTAAAGAAAATATTTTTTTAAGAGTGTGATACTAACTAGCTAACTGGGGAGCAGTGAAATAGCCAGGATATTCAAACCGCTGTGCCAGCCCCCAAAGTGGGAACTCCGCCAAGTCCCTTCACATAAATGCTGAGACCACCTGAAGAGTAACTCAAGCCCTTCAGGCATGTACAGCCTGCACACAAGGTACACCAGGGTGTAGATGAGAGTTCATTCATAAACACCTTTTATCTTTCAGTATTTAAAGTACATTTCAGACTATCTGACCCTGGGGTTCCATCTCGATTCCTGTCTGATCGCCATCCTTTCTCCTGTCCCCATTGCAGTTTCCCAGACAAGGCCTGCAGCAGACCCAGCAGCAGCAGCAGACAGCCGCCCTGGTGCGGCAACTCCAGAAGCAGCTTTCCAGTAAGTCCCCTGTCTGTCCCAGAACAAATGGTTCAGAATAAGCAAGCAAACACAACATTGGTGGCTCCCACAAACACACAGTGTCTTCTTCCTCAGTGCCATTTTCATCTTTGCTTTCATGCAGACTACTTTTGCTTTAGATCTGACTTGAAGCCTGCTTTTCCTGGAAAAGGTCCAATCTTCTTGAATTAGGTGATGATGTCTTTTGCTTCCATCAGAACTAAAAATGTTTCTTTCATTTGGGGAGCCCCTATAGAACTGCAAATGCCTTTTTTATAAATCTGGACAGTTCAGGAAACAGCTCCACTCACACCCTCAGCGATACAGATGATTGAGGCTGGGTGCTTCCCAAAATCTCTGGCCAGCATCATCCTTCCTATCTCTTGCTCATGGGACTGACTGTTATTACCACTGCACCATCTTCCCCTTCCTGAAAATGACTCAGAAAATTAGAACATACAATATCACAGACAGCCTAACAAGGTCATGCTTTTACTCCAGTAACCTTGCCTGTTACTCTCATGTCTCACCTTTTTTTTTTTTTTTTTTAAATAACATTCTGCCTCTCAGATTGCACTCCAAGGGCCCATTTTCTCACATCTCATCCCAGTGCTAGCAGCATCCCCAGGCTAATAGATCACCCCGGTGTTGGAGCTGGAGGGCAGGAAATTCTTTTAGAAATGAGAGCCACCCCCTTTGATGCAAGGAATATTGGCCTGGAAGTTAGGAGACTTAAAATCTGGTTCCAGCTCTACCACCATTTTATGAATTAAGTGGTGAGAGTGAGACTTCGGGTTTTTCCACTCTCAGTTTATGTGCTTCTGAGGAACAAACTAAAGGGCCAGTCCTCTAGGCAGCAATATGGGCCTGGTAGGATATTTTAAGGAAAAGGGTTAAATTATGGTTAGGGACAGGTTGGTTTTAATTTTTTTCACTGCAGTGATATCTGTTTATATTATTTATTTATTTATTTATTTACTTTTTGAGGTTACATTGGTTTACAACATTGTGTGTGATTCAGAGGTGCAGGGCACACCCTTCCGTCTCAGATACAAGTCACCTCACCATTTCCTCCTGTGTGTGGTCCATGTTGGTTTCCCTGCAAAGAGAATACCTTTCTTACACCATGTGTCTCAACCAGGACATAACCAATCTTTTTTTTTTTTTTTTCCCCCTTTAGAAGTATTTCCCTCTTATAGCTGCATTTAATTGTAGTGACATGATGTAAGTCAATCTTGTTTCCCCACTGCTATTTAATCGATGTGGCCTATTAACAAATGTGTGGTTAAAATTTCATTGTGTCTCATTAATCTCAAGTTTCATATACTTACATGACTTTAAAAGGATACAATTTTAAAGCAGAAATGATATGTTTATATTTTGGATTTTGTTCTACACTTTAGAAATATGTGCTGGTGACATTTATGGAGTAGCCCCTACTTGGGTATTTAGGGAGTATATTTACTTGTTTCCTTTTCCCCAGAATTCATGGAATTGCAACTTTTTTGTTTTTTATAGCCACCATTCATAGAGCACTTTCTTGGGTCTAGGCACTATGACACTTTGCATGTAGTAATTCACTTAATTTTTAAACCCTACCATCTATGAGGTACTATTCCTCTCATTTATGAGAGAACAACTAAAGAACAGGGACATGACTACTTTCCAGGGTTATTCAGGTGGCAGTAACAGACAAAACTGGGACTTGCAATCCAATTTGGGGCCAGCCTGGTAGTGCAACGGGTTGGAGTTTAGCACCCAGAAACTAGCCGCAGTAACTTCACAAGTTCTATCCCTGGCCCAGAGGTGACCCACATGATGCAGCAGACCTCTCCTGATCCCCCGCTGCTCCCCTCAACAATGTTCTTTGTCGATCTGCCTGTTCTGCTCCCCACTCTGACTCTACTGACTCCTCTCACTGCCCCTGCAACTCTAGCCTGTACCCCAGTTCTGTATGCATAAGTAAAAATAAATCTTTAAAAAAAAAAAAGAAAAGAAATCCAACTCAGAGCCCCTCTCTTAACCTCTTCCACTTTACTGCTGGTATAGCAGTTACACCAACCTCTCTTTGTTATATAACGATAACTAAGCTGTGCCACCCACTACACAGCTCCTGAAGACTTCTTTGCATACTAGCCCACATGAAAGGGGCCTTGGATTTGAAGTCCCACCCAAGTTGTACAGGAATAGCTGTTTCTAAAACTCTGTCTTTGATTGTACTTTCTGTTTTGTCTTTTTTTCTGTGTGTATGAGGGTGCATACATATGTGTGTAGGCCCACTCTGTGTTGACACAGTCACTTCTGTGCATGCCTACTCTCTGTTAAAGTAGAAGTAACAGGGGCCAATGCATTATCTCAACACTATCGCCATGACACTCGAGTTCTTTGCCCCGGCCAGGTAGCTGAGCCACATATGGTGCAGCAGACCTCTCCTGTCTTGGCCACTGCTCCCCTCTGCAGTGTATTTCAGTAGATCCTCCTATTCTGCTCCCACTCTTTCTCTGATGAACCCTTTCACTGCCCCCAGCCCACACTGTTTTTCTAAGCTTAATAAATCTTTAAGAAAAAAAAAATTGTAAAAAGTAGAACATTGGAATATAGTGTCATGTAGGTTTTTCTAGTGCATCATTGTAAGTCAGAATCCATACATAATAAATTGTATCTACCACCAAAAGTGCAGTACCATACAGTTGACCCTTTTGCCCAACTTACGCTCCCCTTCCCTTTTGGTAACTGCCAGTTTGGGCTTGTAATATAAAGTTTTTGTTTTATTCTTTTTTTGTTTCTTTAAATAGCATAAATGAGTAAAATCATACAAAGTTTGTCTTACTCTTTCTGACTTATTTTACTATGCATAATACTTTCTCAGTGCATTCATGTTGCAAATCATGCCAACATTCTTGAACTGTTCTCGCTCTGCATCTTATGGTTATTTGCAGAAAATTGTCCAACTTCAAGTTACTTTTTTCTTACACATTATAATTTCCATGTTAAAATAGAATCTCTGGCATGCTTTTAAAAATATTATAAGAACACTCAGTGTGTTGATAATATTTATAGTCCTTTTGTATTTAGTAGCGAGTCATTTCAGTTCAGAGAAGAGAAGTTGGACAGGCCCATTCCCCTCACGCCAAAGCCTGTGCTTTCCTGAGCCAGTACTGAGAGAGAACAGGCCCCTCTCAAGTATACTTGCCCCACGCAGTTCGTAGCCCCTCTGCAGAATGCCGGGATGCCCTCAGCTGAGGCACCCTACCTCTGGCTCGTGCTGTAATCCCAGCCTGGCAGTCTGTCCCTCTGTTCCTGAGGCTGGGGCTGAGAACAGTGACAAGAGGGTAATATCCATCGGTGGCATAATTTTACACCTGTAATTTTATATAAATTTATTTTTCTCACTAGGTAACCAGCCACAGCAAGGAGTGACTCCCTATGGGCACCCATCTCACTTCTGAATTTGGAGGAGAACAAGACGTGAAGTTTTGTGTTTGCACTGAAAAATAGAACATCAGATTTAATGCATCAATCATTTTTAAAAAAGTTCCTTAGTTATTTCATTTCTTTGAAGTTTTCCTATATTTTCCTGTACATTACATACAAAGGTTAAACTTTAAACAAAAAGCAGAGAAAGGGATGTAGTATGTTTTATTTGCATTTCACTTTCAAACAGGCTTTGAAATGTGCATCATTTCTACTTACTCCATGAAGAGTTTGATAGCAGATCTTTGAATTTGGTGCTTTTTTTCTTTGAGTCATAGAAAGAATTAATTATTGTGAAATTTAAAATATATATGTATTCATTAGTGATTTTGTTTTTCACATTCTCCCAGACCAAACTACTGATTTGAAAGTCAAGTCAGATCTTGACAGAAAAACGACCCATTTATTCTGTATTCACCTATGATGGTGAAATGGACATTTATTTGCATCGCTCTAATTTGAAATGTTTGTAATTTCATAAGCACTTTATAAACTTTGTTCTTATTTATGTAGGATTTCTCTTTGCTTTTGTTGTGGTCAAAAGGTGCTGAAGCAGATTGTTCCCTAGTACTTAAACTTCTTAGACCAAGAACTTAAACCAAGTTTTTGTGAGAGACATCTTAATATCTGAGAGCCTATTTGAAGTAGTTAGACATCGAATTTATTGTCAGTGGCGAGATCATTGACCAGAGTCTTTGTGAGGTTCAACCTGTAAATTATAAAGGCCCAGACCACAGTGGAAGTACTCCAATTATTTATTACCAGATTTTGGCAAGAATGACTGTCCAATTTCGGTTCTCCTGAACCTCATGCCAACTTGAGAAAAAAGGTCTCACAGGTAGCCTGAGATTCCAGTATGTGACCTCAACCTGGTTTCCAGAGAATCTGGCCGGCCCCAAAGTCCAGAAGGCTATGGTTTTCACAAAAGATGTATTTGCTGTTTATTTTGTATGGTAAGTATTTGCTATTTTCAATTATTAATGTTGGTGTCAGTCTTGGTTGTGTATTGCATATACTGTATTTATAAATTGGTGCAAAAAGCACAAGTAAATTATACATCAAATTTATTATAAAGAAATAGTAACTATTTTAACTTTGTTCAAGTATGTGGTAATTTGCTCCTATTAGAGTAAAAAATACAGTAAATTATTATCAGTTTGTGTAACTTAAGAGTATTCCATATGATATTTTTTTAGATTTAGATGCATAAAATTTTGAATGTGAAAATTGCAGGGCATTTTAAAACATAGGTGGGGGATATTCCCTTGTTCTGTGTTAATTCATTTCTTTTGCCATATGATATTACATGTAATGTAGTCAAGCATACTGTGAATAGATTTGTCAATAATGAGCAAACCATGTAGAACTACTTTTTTTAATGTAGCGAATTTAAATTTAGTAGTTCATTTCTTTTGCAAATCATTATATAAATGATTTATACCTTCCTAGGTGAGTTACTCATTGCAAAGTTTGACACATGCCAACAACCTCAAAAACATGTCCGCTTACTTTGCTGTGGCAGCGTCCATGTGAACTGCTTTGTACACTGTGAACCTATTTCACTCCAGCCTGCTCATTTCGTGTTTACTCTGGGCTGGAAAAGACTTTGCCAAAACATTAAAGACCATTCTTTTCACTAAATAACATATTCTATCTTCTTTCAGAAGATAAATCTTTACATTTCAGCTAGCTGGTTTTGTATATCAGGGTTGTTGTTTTTTCTTTCTTTCTTTCTAGAGCATTCTTAGAAGTTACAAAGTTATTTTTCTTCAAAGTAATATATCCATATAATGACTGCCTTGGCAAAACAACCGAAATGTGAATGTTGTGCCTAGTGAATGAGTCATGTTTTGTCTTGATTGTTGTCGTCTCTTTTCAACAATTATTGGTATTAAAATTGCCATTTTTCAGTTTGAACAACATTTATTAGCTCAATATTGCAAACAGCAGTAATACTGTTTCAACAATGAGTGTTGTAATTGCATAGCATTTATATGCACTTTATATCTTTCAGTTAGTGAAGTTAATTTATTAATCATTTTGCACATGTAATCTGTGGGATACACCCTTTTTGTTGTGTGTGTGTGTGTGTGTGTTCAAGGTGAGGAAGCTAAGTGATAGCAAGGCCATATAATTCAAAGATCTTATGAAAATTTGAGGGAAAACTTAGAACTGGTTTCCTCCTTTGCATTACAAAGAAAACAACTGGAATATTTAATCTAGTCATCACATTTCCTTCCACTTAATCCTCTATCCAAAGAGGTTTCCTTTTCAGCAGATGCATTACTTTGCATTACTAATTGCAGAGGAAAGCCCCATATTTTGACAGAAAGTAGTAATTTGCTAGAGTAGAAAAAGAGAAAATTATTTTAGGAAGAGATGGTGACCCTAAATTCCCTTAAAGAATTGAAATTGAAAAGAGTTGGACATTAAGAAACCCTAAGACACTCTACACTCATTCTTACATTTCTCGTTCATTTACTCCCCTTAGTCCAGAAATCGAAGGACGTGACTGTTAGCATGAGTGTACTTTCAGTTCTTGTGGCCAATTTGTGTACACAATTTGTGCAGCAATCATTAGGCCACTTCTTGGGTGGACCAGCTGAAAGTTGGTGATGAAAACACAATGAAATGAGCTCCCCCATCTATCTCAAGTAATTGGCAATACTAAAAGAACTTTCAGTTTTGTGTACTGTGATCACTGAGCAAGACCTATAGTATTTTCTTCTTTTCACTTATTAAGGCTTCTTCTGTATTTCATAAGTAACTGTCAGATATTTAAATAGATGCTGGAGAAATTGTACTAGAGCATCCCAGCCCTAGAATTAGAGAAGATGAATGATACAATGACCCCCAAATCATTTTAGGTTGAATTAACAAACAAACAAAAATAAACAAACAAACAAAAATAAATACCAAATCAATGAATTTAAAAACACAATGTTTTTGGTAGGGTTGATCAAATTTGAAGTACAGTGAAATCTCATTATATGTATTAAATCTACATCTTCCTGTCACTTAAAGGATTAGTATTTAATGAAATAAAATGCAATGGTTGCCCTTAAGAAAATTTTCCTCCATTAAACAGCTCCTAAACAGTGGTGGCTGAACTATAAAAGAGCTTTCATTGTATTAAAAAAAAAACTTTTTGATGCATCTATTTGGACAACGTTGTACTGAGCCCCCTTTTCACATTTTATCACATGCAGGTGTGACGTTGCTTCTTCTGTGTGGGAAAGTTAGCCTGCATTTACTTTTAAATGCAGTTATTAAAAGTTTTGCATTACCCCATCAATGAAAATTTTCAAGTGTGCACAGAGTAGTGAATCATAAACCAAACATTCCGTTTTTATTTCCTGTAGATTTTAGTAAAATATTCATAAACCAACCATATAATATTTATACATCAAGATGGCGAATTTACATTAAGACTGCACATTTAATCTCTTTCACCATCTCTGTTCTCAGTGCCATGCTTTTAACATTGATAGAAGTGTATACTAGGCAACTAGTAATGAAAGAAAAAAATCCATTCTTTAATGAATTCAGGTACATTAGCCATTTGTTATTTTGTGGTGGACAAAAATTCCTCAATGTTCATTGTAATTTGTTGGCAAAATAAAAGTGCCTTAAGTTAAAAGTTTGTTTTGAGATCCATTAAAGAAATCAGTATCAGTTCACAATGCATTTCTTTACAAAGTTTTTCTTGCATGTCCATTATAAATTTAATATTGTAAATGTATTCAATTCATTTACATGCCTATGGCTGCCTTTGATTAAACATTCTTCAAAAAAATAAACTCTGTCGAGATGTTGACTTTGCGCAAGCAGTTTTTTCTTTCATGTAATATTACTTGGATGTAAGCTGTTGTATAATCACTGCCAAGTAGATTTGCTGGCCATTTATAAATTTCAGAATCTGAGGTTCGAGGGTTCTGAATAACTAATGTAGCTTGTGGGTGAAGAGGCTCTATTTTGTGTGTCGTCCTCTTACTTACAAGCAGGGAATGGTCAGGTGTCTCCCATGTGATCTCTGGTTTGGGGACCCCCAAGGCCACTCAGTGCCCCTGAACAGCCGTTCCTGTCTTTGTAAAGATGTTCCCGGGTGAGTGATGGGTAATTCGGGGAAGGGAGGCGACAACCATTACTGGCACAGTAATCAGTGCACGGCCAACACTATTTTGAGCATGACAAATATAGTTACCTCTGTCATAAGCCGCTGCTGCTTTGATGACTAAAGTGCCGTTTTCATGCAATATGTATTTTCCATTAATTTGAGGCCTATCTATTGTATAACCACTGGGAACAGCCCATTTAATATTTGGCTTAGGACTTCCCTCTGTTACGCAATCCAATGAGAGAGATTCTCCACTGATGCAGTAAACTGTGCCTAGTGTATAAGTAAGAATAGCTGGCTTCTGGCCAACTTCTAATACAATTAATTTTTCAATATAGCCAACTTTATTTCTTGCTGCGCACCGATACTTTCCTGCATCATCGTGGCTTGTCTTATAAATGATAAAAGAACCACTGCTTGCTATGAAATAGTGAGAATTTTGCAGCCCACTGGGAAATCGTGTGCCATTTGGTAAAATCCAGATGATTTCAGGTGGTGGGTTTCCATCAACAGAGCAATTCAATGCTATAGTCTTTCCAAGCTCAGTGACTACTTTTTCATTAAATGGATTTCTGAATGTTGGTCTTCTAAGCATTTCTAGTACTTCTAACTGTACGACCAGTACACTCTCTCCTCCTTCATTCCGAGCCACACAGATAAAGTCAGCTGAATCTGAAAACCTCACATTCCTAATTTCCAGAGTTCCATTTCTATGGACTGTGATTCTACTTCCATAGTAAGGGGCTGTGAGGAAAATGTTGTCAGGCATGATCCACATGATTTGAGAAGATGATGTCCCTTCAACTCTGCAGTCAAAATGTTTTTTGGAATGCCTCACAGCTGTGGCTTTGATAACAGTGTTGTTTGTATACAAACCATTGATTAGTGGAGGCTTGGAGACAACATCCAATTTGTGCATTTTGGTGTCATCCCCACTGGGATTCCTGGCTACACACACATACTCTCCTGAATCAACCAGTTTCACTTTGTTAATGGACAAAGACCCGTTGGAATGAAATGTGTACCTGTCCTTAGAAAATGAGATCATATCATGGGAAGGCAGCAACCAAAATATTTTTGGCTTGGGCTCCCCAGTGACCTCACAGTCAAGGAAAGCTGTGTCTCCAGCATGGATCCTCATGTTGGTTTTGTAACCCTGTCTGATTCGAGGGGCAGCTGTTATCACTTCCAGATGCACCTTCATCTCATCCTTCCCTAAAGTGTTCTGGGCAAAGCAGGTATAATCACCTTGCTGTGCTATCTCTACTTTATTGACATATAAGGTTCCATTATCAAAAATCGTATACCTTCTGGTTCTGTGGCCATTGTCATCAGATTGCATTTTCTTATTTATCATTGTTCCATCAGGCAAACTCCAAAATATCCTGGGTGCTGGCAAGCCAGAAGCTTTGCAATCAGCTTGAAAATCTTTCCCATGAAATACTTGCTTTATAGAATGTTGCTTGTGGTCAATTTTTGCAGGTTTCAGTCTGAAGCCAACATGCATCAGTGTTAGGTTATCTCCCATTTTGGTTCTTGCCACACACACGTAGTCACCACCATCTTTTTCTGTTATTGAGGCAATGAACAGAGATCCATTTGGGTGCACATGGATATGGCTGCCAATTCTAAGAAAAGAAGATACTGAATTGAGTGAAGAGACTGAATTGAGGAAGCTGGTGGGAGAATTGCCTATTAACATAAGATTAGCTTTATGGACAGTTTCTGAAATTGGTGCAATGAAATTAAAGTCAGTACTAAGCTATTTCCTAAAAGATGAAATTATCTAACTGTAGAGAGATAATTTAATCTAACATAGTATTTCCTCAATTAGTGAACTTCAAATGAATCTCCTTTTCATGGTGATCATTTCCAAAAAAAAAAAAAAATCATTTTAATGGTGAGAAAGAGTTAAAAATACTTATTTCCTATATACATAACTTCACTTTCTATATGAAATGGTTCTATGATTGATACATATTGATTTAAAAAAAAATTTAAGTTTACTTGCTCAGAAAAGATGGGAGATAACACGTCAGAGATATTAGTAACAAACCCAATAGTTACTTGATTAGAAAATAATTTCTACTTTGTTATAAAGAAAGAAAGTGCCAATATAAGATACTCAAAGCTTGCAATTTAGCGCCTTCCCTTTGCTTCAGGTGTTAAGTTGGTTGTCCCTGCTTTAGGTTGACCTGTATGGAACGTTTTCCTCTGGGAAGCGACAGTGTGCCTGCTATTATTACCACATTGGGCCACCAGATGGCAGACCGTTCCTGATGAAACTAAATTAGTATTTCAGAAGGACTAGTGGAAATCAATTTGGTGCTCACTGCTAACTGAAACAATTCAAATCTCTTTCTCAACAAACGTAGAGTAGTATTGTACATTATAAAAAGGCCAGATCCTTTTTTTTCAAGTGTGGAAAGAATGTCTGTGGCATGTAAGCCAAGGGAGAATCATAATGATGGATGTAGTACTTTATAAAAGGAGTTGAAATTGTCAGATGCTTTGCAATCATCTTCAAACTGTAAGCCAAGGGAGAATCATAATGATGGATGTAGTACTTTATAAAAGGAGTTGAAATTGTCAGATGTTTTGCAACCATCTTCAAACTGTTTCCCACTATACAGCTAAAAAAAATAATAATAATTTTTAGAGAAATTTAGTAACTTGCCTCTAGTCACAGAACTGCTTCCTGATGCTATACTGCACCCTGTTCTTACTACTCTATTGCTTTACTTAGACTTGGGTACACATTAAAAGCACTTACAGAGTACAAAATAATGCTGATGCCTGGATCCCATGTCCAGACTTAATGGAGTGAGAGTGCAGCACAGGCATCAGGATCCTTATTTTTCCAAATGAGTCTATGTGCCACAGAGCTGAAGCCCATTGCTGGAAATCTGGTTCTCAGCAGTTCCACACCACCTCTATCAGAAGCAGGTAAGGCTGAAGTTAAAGTGTGTATTTCCTGTTTTCACTTTTCAGAGACTCTGATTTAGTGGGCTGGCCAGGACCTGAGAACCTATTGTTTTACATAATTACTGGGTGACTTACAAATAATTCAGTTTGAGAACCAATCTCAAGTTTTAGTGTGCACAGAATTGCCTGTAGGACTTTTAAGAACACCTCTTGCTTGTTAAAACAATTCTGACTCAACAAGTTTTCAAAATATTAATATTCCCAGCGGGATTTTTGTAACTATTGGTGACTGCAACCCACCAACTATAAAAGATTGGCCTTTCCCCATCCAAAAATCTGATGCATCTGGTTGTTGTACTATATGAAAAGAGGCCAAACTAGAGATTTTTTTCATAAATTTGTATTTTTAAGAGAAAATTTATTTTAAAGAATAGAAGTTTTCCCTGAGTGAAAGAAATAGAATTCTTTATAAAGATCAATGCATAGGCAAGCATCTAAGCTTTATAAAGTCTTGCTTTATTGTCCATATGATTTGGCTGGGTATCATTTTGAAGCACAGATTCTGATTCATCAGTTCTGGGGTGGAGCTTGCTCTTATAAAATGCTCCCAGCTGTAAGTAGTAAGATGCCAAGAAGAGAAGGCATGGTTTTATGCTGATGAAAAAGGTCACATAAGTTATGTTGTAAGTTGAAAAGAGAAGTTCTAGTCTAGGACCTCTCACAAACATGCATCAAAGGCCTATGGGTAAATAGGCTTTCAGAATGTTGGGTTTGTCTTACTTTGGTCATCGATTTTGATAAGCATAGCTATGATGAAAGTTTTCTCATTTTTAGAATTGAAAATAAACATCTAAAAGAAAGAAGAGGTTAACAGTAAGAACTTTCTTTTGCAACAGAAATGCGTTTTTTCTTTGTTGTGACATACAGTAGAAGTAAGGCATCTAAAGGATATTCTTGCTTCCCTGAGTAGCTTAATTACAAAATAACCATTGAAGTGTTTGATGAACAAGAAAGCAGTGGGCCCTTAGCAGTATGTTTGATCTCCATTGTATCTTCTGCAGTGTGGAATGAGCATCTTTCTTGTGTTCTGCGATTCTCCAAATCAAAATATAAATGACCTACCTAATTGGTTTGCTATTGGAGGAATTGTTGGACTACCTGAACAAATGAATTCTGAGATGCTAATAACATTCTCCAAATTTACCTTCATATTAACTTTTTAAGACACTCAAACATTTTATCATACATCCTGATAAGATTTTGTTCTAGAAATCGTAATGCCCATTTTTGACCTTGTCTTTACAATCTAAAATGTGAAGTTTAGCTGTTATCCCCATCACATGCGCAATGCCTTCTGCACTCTTGTACTGGTTTCTGCCTGAGTAATGAAAATTATATTTAAAGCAACACAGAATAGTGAGCTATCTCTGGGTAAGTAAGAATCATTTCCACTCATGTGGAGTTTAAGTGCAATAATTTAAGAAGAGAGAAAGAGCATTCTATTTTAATGAATGTTTATAATTATTTGAAGGCAAAAATAAAGACATACTGATCAACTATAAAATATAAAAGCTGATAAAATGAAAATATCCAGTCCCATAAATAGGTATGCATATACATCATGTATAATTATATAAAATTAACTTTGCTCTTCATAACGCAGCATTTTTTCTTTAAAATTAATTTTAAGTTAATATTTAGTATTTAAATACTTAATGTTAAATACTAAATATTAAATAGTTAATATTTGATGGCTTGTTTGAAATTTAGAAATTAACATTTACTTTTTTTTTTTTAAAGATTTATTTATTTGTGCATACAGAACTGGGGTACAGGCCAGAGGCTCAGGGGCAGCAAGAGGCTTCACCAGAGACAGAGTGGGGAACAGAACAGGCAGATCGACGAAGTACACTGCTGAGGGGAGCAGCGGGCGGGTCAGGAGAGGTCTGCCACGCCATGTGGTCACCTCCGGGGCAGGCGGGAATCGAACTCATGCTGAAGCGGCTTTAGATTCTCAGTGCAGTGCTTTAACCCGCTGCACCACCAGGGAGAGCCAACATTTACTTTTTAATGAGTACAAGTTAAATTCTTTAGCTACATTCAATGCCAACATAAAATGGGCAATAAGAAATAATCTACTCTGGGCCATCCCTGGTGGCGCAATGGGTAAAAGTGCAGTGGAACTACTAGCCACAATCACTTCAGCACCAGTTCGATCCTGGCCAGGGAGCTAACCCACATAACACAGCAGACCTTTCCTGTCCCTCCTGCTGCTCCCCTCAGCAGTGTACTTTGTCAATATGCCTGTTCTGTCCCTGCTCTGTCTCTAGTGAATGCTCTCACTGCCCCTGAACCTCTGGCCTGTACCCAGTTCTGTATGCATAAATAAGTAAATTTTTTTTAAATATAACCTATTCTTCAATTTCTAAGGATGAGCATAGTTTGTATATACCCACATACATATATATTATGTATACAACTGTTATGTATCATTTTCCTTCCTGGGTTTTTTCTATTAATGGATAAATATAGTACTAGTAATGTTCATCTTCATCATTTTCTGTCATGGAAAATCATTGCATAATATCAACAAATGGCAAAAATTAATGAATCATAAACTATAATTATTATTTTTCAAAGACAGGATTTGATCAGTACAGAAAACCAGATATGACTGTCAAATGCCTGTAACAGTAGGTTGGAGAACGCGTAATGGATAGTAGATACAGGTGTCTGATGGCAGACACCCGAGTGATGGAGGTCCAGAATACATCTCATACTGTGAAGGGCTTAATGTTCTGACTTTCATAAATTGATACCAAAGCCAGTATTGAAGGACTGATGAACTTAAATGTAGATTATACAAAATTTTAAAATGCTCATAGGAGATTCTGAAGAGAAATAATGGAGTGCATCTCTATATAATCTTGCTTGTATTACAAAAATTCCACTCCTTGGATAGAGAGATTATGAATACCTTTATACAGTTACATTTTCAAACTCTCACAAGTATGGAAACATGAGATTTTTTATTCCATAAATAAACTCAAGTAGTCCTTCGAGCTAGGTATGTAAGAAACTTGCTTTTTATATTCCAATGATCTTAAAATGATTAAGTCCCTATGGTTGAGTTACTTTTATGAGCAGAGTTTATGCTTCTCTAAAACTGACTGCTATGAGCCTCCCTGTATTACTTTTTACATGTCAGAAGTTATGTAGCTGAACAGATAAAATGTCAATAAAAAGGTGCAGTTTACCTAAGACGCTGGTCAATGACAGCCTTGGATGGTAGTCTCCAGATTATTTTGGACTTGGGCTCCCCAATGGCTGAGCAGTTCAGTAGCAGTTTGTCCCCCAAATTCACCTCAATCCATTTCTGAGATGCAAATTCTATCCTGGGCATGGTTTCTCGCTCTTCTAGGGTAAGAGTCACCACCCTTCTCTCTGAACCAGTGGAGCTTGTAGCAATGCATTCGTAAGGGCCTCTGTCTGAAGAGTCTAATTTTTTTATATGCAGTGTCCCATTTGAAAATAAGAAAAGTTTGGAATGGATGAGTTGTAATGGTTTCACTTCGGTGCCATTGGGGAGGACCCAGTGAACACGGGGCTGAGGAGCTCCTTTGGCAGTACAGGGCAATTTCAAGCTCTCACCCCAGCTCCCTGCAATGAGTTGCCTCTTTTGCTCTAGAATAACAGGTGGGGCTGCAATGACCTGTATTTTAACCAGCACGGAGTCCTGACCAGCAGAGTTGCTGGCGGTGCATTTGTATAAGCCTCGGTCATAAATGCTGAGATTGTGGATGACCAATGTTCCTGCAGATGTCACCAGGGTGGCCCCCCTACTCCCCTGTGATGATTCTGAGACGACTGTTTGGTTTGCAAGAATCCAGGAAATCACAGGCTTTGGTCTCCCTTCTGCTCTACACTTCAATTCCACAGTGCTACCAGAATGAGCTGTGATTTGTTTGGTTTGGCTCTCAAGGATCCTGGGCGGATAGGAAACCACAGACAAGGTGACGTGAAGATGGTCTGTGCCAAACTGGTTGGATGCCGAGCACAAGTACTGTCCACGATCCTGAATGTTTACCCTTTGTATGGACAGCGTGCCATTGGGAAGCACCTGGAACCTGCTATTCTGTTTCTCGCTAGACAAAGCAAGTCCTGGCAAAAAAAGACAGAAGTTTATAACCATGGATAATCATTGTTTAGAAAGAAAAAAAGTTGTTTAAGTAGTAGTCTCGGGAGGAAAGCTTCTTTTTTCTTAAGCTATTGAAAACATTTAAAGTTAGGATACCTATCTTTAGTTGCTAAATTTATTCCTGGATTCTTTTATCTTTATAATTTTAATTTAAAAGCCAGGTGGCTCAATACAGTGACTAAATCCTACTCCTTTGGACCTGCTTTCAGAGCATTTCAAAAATGTTCTTAATTAACATGTTTCTTAAAACCTAATGAGTATTGCCATACAAATGTCAGGTGAAAGTAATAATAGTTTCTGTATCCTGGAGAAATGTGAGGCTGCACTTGATTTTCTGGATAGGTAATCCTGAACATAACACAATTTTTCTTATATTATAATTATAGAAAAGTAAGTATAAAGAAATAGTTTTAAATACCTGATGAGACTCTGGTCCAATGGATGGTGGGCAAGGGGTTTCCAGTGGCTTCACAAGGAAGGAAGGCATCTGAGCTGGCTGGAACAGTAAAACTTGCTACTTTTCCTCCAATGATTCTGGGTCTTTCAAATATGTCCCTAGACAAAGGGTCAAAGGAAAGTTCAGAATTTGTTATTTCTTGAATGGGTGTCTTATCAAAGCCACTTTTCTTTACAGTCTTCTGTCCATCCCAATTAGGACTATGAATGGCATCCTCTGGCAGGCCTGGAGTGGGCAACACATTCACTACTGGCTTTTGGCCTCTTTCAACTATTTCTGGGTAAGGCTTCTCCCCAAAGTAGTTTTCTGGCCAAGGAGAGGGAGTCAATTTAGAGTTTTGTGGTTTAACTTTTTTTAGAGCTGGTATTGGGGCAGAAGATAACAGACTGGAGTAGATAAAGTGGGAGCTTCCACTGGTGAATTTGGTGAACTTTGGCTGAGCTGTGGGAGATGTTACAACCTTTGCTACTAAGTGCTGTGGACCAGCATTGCGCCTTGCAGTTTCATGTGGCTTGATCGGTGCACTCATCATCCCGAAAGTGGGAACGACCTCATTGTCAGTGATTGTACTCTGATTACTCAAGGGCAGGGTGGTAAGCCCTCGAGCAGCACTGCTGTTCAAGGGTGACGGCACAGTTGAGGTTCTGATGAGTGTTGCCCTGGCTGGGGTACTCTGCCGTCGTCTGCTGGACAAAACTGTGTAAAAAGCAGTTGTTTTCTTCAAAGTCTGTGTATTCTTTTGAAGTAGTTCTGCAATTACATCAGTCGTACTAAGGCTTGCCATGCGAACACCAATTGTGCTTGAAATTCCTGTTGTGTTTTCTAAGGAAGAATGAGGAAAAGTAGAGACTTTGACTATGGTGGGAGTTGCAGCTCTAGTTAGAACAGGCGGTGTCGTGTTGGTGGATGTAGTGAAGCCAGAATTCTGGCCAGGAGAGTTGTTTGTGTCACTCCTGTCCTTCTGAGACTCCTTTTTTCTTTGTACTTTTTGTGCTCTGGGTCTGACTATTTGGAGTTTATCGGTAGTAACGGATTGATGGGCCATGGGAGTAGTCGTCAACATGACTGCTTGGATTGATGTGAAACCTGTACTTGATTCTTTGCTTGAGATAGTAGGAAGAGTAGGATAAATGAGTGGGAAGCGCAGTTGCATAATTTTCAGGAGTCTCAGTGGAAGGCGCACTTTGCTGGTATTGTGGTGAGTTATAGCTGGAACATGTGTCACACTTGTTAAGAGTGTTGTGAAATCAAAGGGTGGAACTTTATTTGTGGATAAAGAAGGACTTATGTTAGGAAGTGCTGTGGCTATGCTTTTTTGCAAACTAAACTTATGTTGATTCTTTCTCTTCTCTTTTTGTGTATGATTATTTACAAAGATTTGATGCCAGGGAATTTTCCTTCTTGGAAGTCTTGTCATGGCTATAGGAGTAGGCATAGATGTGTTGGTGATAGGACATGGAAGTGACGGTGTGATCACTGAATCTCTTTTAGTTTCACTTGTACTATACATGCTTGGGATACCAGTACCTGTTATATGAGTTTTTTCCAAAGATATGGATGTTGGGGCTTGAGATCTGATTGCACGAGTTGGAGTTGTTTGGGTATTTTCAGTACTGATATATTTTATTATGTGTGTTGTTTTATCACTAGCTGCATTTTGTTTGTTTTCAAGTAGCCATGATGGATTATGGACTGGACTTGTAGAGTCTACTGTTGGAACTCTGGCAATGTCAGCTTTAGAGATGGTGACAGGAGAAGAACTTGGAAAAGATACTGCTACTGCAGCAATGGTGATCCTTTCCCTGGGAGAACAGGCTGGGCATTCTCTATTGAGGCCCGTGGCTGACAAAGCAGTAGTGCTTTCTTCAGAAAAACCTCTGAATGTTGACCTTGCAAAGTCATAACTGTGCTGTCGAATAATTGGAGTTTTATATGGACTGATGATTCGCCCCCTGCCCCAAATTTTCTTCCATCTTCCAGAGCGTCCAGACAGAGGGATATTAGCTGTAGTGTTTCTAAGAATTTGTACATGAGAGTGAACAGCAATATATGGGTCCAGGGGTACCTCAGAGGGACTAAGCTTTTGAGTACTGTGAGAAGGGAAGTTGTTGCTCCGGGGTTTGCTGACCACAGCTGTCTGCTGATGATTTCCAGCATTTACTGACCCTGAGAATATATCCACTTGGGTATTAGTACTTAAGGACATTTTGATATTGACATCTTTTATCATAGGGGCCACTGATATTTGGGGAATACTTTGCAAATGCTCTCTTTTTCTCCCCATTAGGTCATTGTCCTGAAATTCAGTCACTTCAGAGAGTAATGGAAATAAAGTAGGTGGATTTAGTCTGATTGTGCTTGGGTTTACATCTTTTGGCATGGCTGCAGTTTTAATAGATAGTTTGAAATCTGCTAGTTTTTCAGGTGGAAGTAGTTGTGAGCTCACAATTGGGGAGACATCAGTGCCAGGAGTAATACTTGTCACAGGGCTAAGAGATATTTCTCTGGCATCAGCTGCCATTCTCCTGACCAGAACATTGGGCGCTTCAGTTGCCGGGGTTGTAAATTCTTCATCTGGAGGAAGCATGTCTGAAGAGTCTAGTTCCTTGACATGTATTTCCAGGCGTTGGGTGGCTGGTAAAAGTGGCCTTACTGTGGTATTTTCTTGCTTCTCTGGCATAGTACTCTTTTTAGTTTTCTCCAAAAGTGTTGCCCAGTGTTGTGGGTCATTTCTCCGTGTTGTGGAAGGAAAATGCCTTCTATACTCCTTAAAACGTCGGCTTGTTGCATCTCTGTGCTGCTGCTGTACTGGCTCCAAATTGTTATGCTTCTTACCTGTGCTTGCAACTTGTTTCTTAGCTATAGCCACGGTGGGCTCAAGCTCATCAAATCCAGATTCATCTGTTTCTCCATTGTACGCCACTGACCTTTGGCCATTTGTTTTGACTGAAACTTGGTTAATCAAGAAATCAACCCCAGATGGGTTAGCTGCTACACAACAATAATGACCCTGGTCTTTTTGCGTTATCCGTAATATTCTTAATGTGCCATTGTTAAGAATTTGCTTGTCTCTTGAGGAGTGACAGAGCACAATATTTCCTGGAAGAACCCAGCTAACAGAGGCATCTGGGTTACCAGTAGAATGACATGGAAGGTCCACTGTTTCACCAGTGAAAACTGTGTAATGAGCCCCATTTTCTTTATAGTTGGCTATGTAGGGCTCTACCACAGTTATCCGATAAGTGAGAATATCTGCTTCATCATTATTGGTGCTTATACAGTGATATACGCCTGTGTCAAACCTATTCACTCTCTGGAGTTTCAGTTTCCCAGATTTATCTATTAGGATTCTCCCATCCTTATTCACATAAGGAGCTCTCACTTTATTCCCATCAGCTAGAAGCCACTCCAAATGTGGGGCAGGGTCTCCTTGACCTGGGCAGTCAAGGTCAATGGTCCCACCAAGCCAAACAGTATGTTCCAACTTAGTATTATTATTCTTGGAAATCATGGTCCATTTATATTTCTCTGGCTTCATTTCAATACTTGGTAAAGTGATTTGAGCACCAGCAGAGTATCGTATCTGCAATGTACTAAGTGTGGTGGCAGCTCTGTTTAGCTGCAAGGAAATGTGGTCTTGCATTAGCCAAGAGGGCTCAGCTCTGAGAACAGCCTCTATATTTGTAAAGATGTCTTCAGGTTTAGAAGCCACCTGTTTATATTTGTAACAAAGTTGTGGTATTTCTGTGAGCAAGTGGCTCCTTTCTAGTATCAGTGGCGAGTCACTGTACAAAGCCAGAACTTGCCACACTGGCTGAATATCTCTGTCATCTACATTACACACCAGAAATGTTGAAAATGGTGTATGTAGCATGATGTAGTTATTTTCTTTGGTGAATGTAATGGATGATGTCTTTGAAGGCTTTTGGATACTGCAGACCAAAATAGCTTCATTTCCAGACTGGTCTGTCATAGTCAAAGTGAGCGAGCCCAAGGGTGCCCTGAAATCTTGGGGAAAGGGAGGCACAGAACCATTCTCTCCCAGAATATTCAGGTTCTTTACTTTTAAGGATGAGTCAATGGTTGGCCTAGTACACTGGAAAGCTTCAGCTGGGACCATAGCTAAGAGCTTGTCTTTAGAGATCTTGGGGTTCATGCAAAGTGGACATTGCTGAGAAGTGGAGGGACTTCTGTCTCTTTTGCACTTTATTATATCTAGGAAAAAGATAATTGAATTGTTGTCAAGAAGACCTCATTATGAATTAACATTTAAACATTTTGAACCAATTTTTGAACCAATTTGTAACTTCCGTGTTTCATAGAAATTACTTTTTATGTCTTATTTTTCCTTATTTTTGCCTTTAAATTAATTTCTAAAAATTATGTAGTTTCTGTGTGTTGCCAAAATATCATATTCATAGACACAAGGATTTTGTCTGTTTTGTTCACTGTTTTATTTGCCATGTCTAGAAAGTGCCTAAAGTATTAACTAAATGAATTGTTTCTTTATCTACATAAACACAATAACATTCCTTGCTTATCATTTTTATGTAAAGTTGTTAATTTCTTTTTTTTTTAAATATTTATTTATTTGTACATACAGGCCAGAGGCTCAGGGGTGGCGAGAGGCTTCACCAGAGACAGAGTGGGGAGCAGAACAGGCAGATCGATGAAGTACACTGCTGAGGGGAGCAGCAGGCGGGTCAGGAGAGGTCTGCCACGCCAGGTGGTCACCTCCGGGGCAGGCGGGAATCGAACTCATGCGGAAGTAGCCTCAGCCTCTCAGTGCTGTGCTTTAACCCGCTGCACCACTAGGGAGGGCCTAAAGTTGTTAATTTCTAATTTCTCATTTTAATGTTTTTTTTTTAAAGATTTATTTATTCATACAGAACTGGGGTACAGGCCAGGGATGCAGTGGGTGAGAGGATTTACCAGAGACAGTGGGGTACAGAACAAGCAGATCTAGGAAGTGCACTGCTGAGGGGAGCAGCGGGCGGGTCAGGAGAGGTCTGCCACACCATGTGGATCTCCTCCAGGGCAGGCGGGGATCGAACTCTTGAGGAAGTGGCGTAAGTTGCATTGTGCTGTGCTTTAGCCCACTGCGCCACCAGGGAGGGCCCCCTCATTTTAATGTTTTAAGAAATGCAAACATTCATTGTATTTCAAAGATAACCTATTTGATAAATTATCACTTATAAATCCTTACATGGCAAAGTGTTTTGGGCCTCCCTGGTGGGGCAACAGGTTAAAACACAGCACTATGAGGGTCTCCACAGCTACTGCAGCACCACTTCTATCCCCAGCCAGGGAGGTGACCCACATTGGGTGGCAGACCTCTCCTGTCCCACCTGCTGCTCCCCTCAGCGGTATATTTCAGTCAATCTGTTTGTTCTGCTTTCCACTCTGTCTCCGGTGAACCCTCTCACCCCCCACACCTCTAGTCTGTACACCAGTTCTTGTATGCATAAATAAATAAGACATTTTTAAAAAATAGCTTTCTGTTACACCAAAAAACATTGACCAAATAACAAGCTATCTTGTTCTGATCCAGCTTAAGAGCAATGCAAAGAGAAAAAGAAAAATAAAAGAGAGAGAGAGAGGCCATTCAAGGGATCAATGATACCTTAAGCTGATAGGTAAAAAGACAAATAAAATAGACAAACCTTTATTCAAACTCAAAATTGACACAAGCTATGCAACGTCCATCGTCTGACAGATTCCTGGTGGATAAGGATAAGCTCTGAAAAATCAGACTTTCCACTGCTAACTTATGTTATGACCTCCCTTTTTCGTATGATCATAATATCAAAATATTCTGAGCAACCATCAGTTTACAACTGGATTGTCTTAGCCACACAGGCAGCTGCCTGGTTCAGGCAAACCACATCAGGGTGAGAAATTCCTCTGTCTCCTGAGACAGAAGGCAAGCCCCGGGAGAGGTAAGACCCTAGGGCATAAAAACTCCTGGGAAGCTTCCTTGGTTTCTTTGAATAAAAAAATAAACTTCAGGCCCTCCCTGGTGGCGCAGCGGGTTAAAGCAC